TCACAGCTGGGATTCGAACCCACAGCCTTCGGGATAGGGGCCCAGAGCCCTGGGCGCTGCGCCACACTGCTGCTGTAGCTGCAGAGACCAGGAGTTCCTGTCTGGGGCTGTATTGTCATTCACCATGGGCTCCTCGAGGTCACCTCACGGTCGCGATCAGGACAAGGGACAGACACTCTTCCTCCTCCGAGAGCAGGTTCACAGCAGAGCGAGGAAGAGGCTGGTCTGGACCTACACTGCACCCTCCACCCAGGCCCCAGATCAATGCACTGTGCTAGAAACCCTTCCTAAGAGCTTGTTTTCAGTGACACAGCAAATCAATGAGAGATATTGACTCCTGTATAACATCCTATATTTACATCTGCAGGAAATGAAGGCCAGGCCACGGCAGGCCCCCCCAGCTGTCCTGGCATCGCTGTGGCGCGGATGCTCCGTCAGCACAGGGACCTGTTTTATGGCCGTGTCCTTCCTGCTGCCGTTGCGGACTGATTCCTCAGCTAGAAGCGGCCCAGCGAGCCCGGGTGCCACTCTTCCAGCATGCTTGAGAGAACGGCCCGCAGTGTGACACTGAGCTGCAGGGCTCTGAGGCTCAGTAGCTCGCTGACCAGAGCACACCTTGTTTCCTCGTACCCAGGGCCACGGCCTCCTCCTCCCTCTCCACATGGCAGACCATCCTGCACTGTTCCAGAGGGGCCCTGTTCAGGACCTCCCAATTCAAGATTCAGCTCCTAAACGTCCTGCCCTGAAGCCCATCGGGACCCCGGACTAAGTCCCGGCAGTGTTAAACTAATCCTGGCCTCTCAAAGGCCCTCATGTCGGCTTCAACACCCAACTCCAGCATGCATCTCTCCCGGAGATTTCCCAAAGCCACGTTCCCTGCCTGCTTCAGCTCCCCCGGATCCGTGCCACCGCCCCGTAGTGGGGCGCCAGGGCACCCCAAAGCGGGACAGGCCCGAAGCCCGAAGCCCGAGCAGCCGCAGGCAGGACTGAGCCACACCTGAGCAGGTGTGCAGCACCGCCAGGTGATGGTTTATTACACATGGCTGGGGGGGCTCCTCTTTCTTAATTTCTTGACATTCCCCTTCATGCAGAGGGAGGGAGGGATTGGGATTATGTATTTGTATCTCGAGGGTATGCGTCTTTTAATTTAGAATACCTGAGCAGCAACAAAAAAGAGGCTGGGTTTTCTGAACAGGAATTTAAAGGGATTAACTCTCTGCAGCACAGCGGTTTGCGGCACAGTTTGAAGAAAGGAATGGTTTGTGTTTTAAGGTTCTAAGCGCCCCTCTCTGACTTGTGCCGTGTGAGTCAGTAAACTGACTACATTTGGAGCATCGATAGCTCTTCAATTTAAGGGAAACAAACAACACTTCACTGGGGCATGAAAAACAAGCAGTAAACACTAACTTGTCATTTACTAGGACCTCGAAACATGAGAACAGTCTGAGTTCTTTCAGTAAGTGTTATAAACAATTATCAGAGAACAGATACTCCTGTTATTAACAGTCTAGGAATTACCTGTTGACCTACTACAGAATATAAAGAATGCATTAACTGAACTAGTACCCTTTATCTAAAGGGTTACCAGAACCACCTCAGATAGCTCTAGGTGTCAGGAGGTTTCCTGGGGGATGGGAGGCACCAGTACCGCATGTGCAGCAGTGTTGTGCTGGAATCAGGGTTGGGGTAGCTATAATGAACACCCCAGGACAAGACATCCTCTTCCTCATCCAGCTCGCCACCACTGACCCGTCTTCACATTCCAGTCCAGTAAGTGACGCCTGCAGTGGCCAGTGCTGATGTCACAGCTCAGAGCTCACTGTCCGCTCGAGAGAAGAACAGAGCTCTCCTGCGGGGACAGTCCTCCAGTGGCCACTTCAGCTCTACTGCTCCAAGCCCACCTCGCTGTCAGCCGGCGGACTTCGAGGACAGCTCCACAGAAAGACTTCAGTTTAGGCTGGGAGGCGCCGCTGTCCAGGAAATGAAGTAACACTCTGAGCTCTGTGTGCACGTGCTCCATCGGGGATACTGTGGGCACAGGCTGTAAAAACAACGGCGAGACTGAGACTGCCAAGACTGTGCCCTTCTGTACCGCGGTAATTCTTTTATAAGGGGTGTGTGAGCCAGCTGCTCTGCTGCAGAGCCCCGGGGCTGCTCTCCAGGCAGGTGTGTGCGAGCAGGCAGGCCTGGAGGACCCAGGAGGGGCAGACACCGAGACGGGTCCGAGTCGGGTCGGGTCGGGTCGGCTCCGAGACGCAGCTCCAAGCTGGGCAAAGGCGAAAACCGCAACCCGATCAGAACGGGCGGCCCGGGACAGCGGGACACCTGCAGGTCCAGCAAGCACCCTTACTGCGCCGGCTGCTTCTGCAGGACCTCCTGCACACTTCCACCATCCCACGCTCTCTCCACAGCCCAGCGCCCGTGTCCTCGCTTCTCCTCAGCTCACAGGCCGGGGCAGCAGCTCGGCGTCCAGCACCAGCACCCCTCTGTCTCCCCCCCGGTGGCCAGGTGAGGGGGCGACGCTCAGTAATGAGAAGCTGATGGCGGCGGGGCGCTCAGCAGCAGGTGTTCCTGCTGCTTCCTCTTGCTGGTATAAGAGCCTGTCCTGGCTTGGGCAGCAGCTGCTCCAGGGCCTCGGAGGGGTGGATCACGCGGCAGCATATCCGTCCTAACATGTCATTAACTCGTAATGGGCCCAAAACGCCACTGTCCCCCCTCCTGCTCCAGATGGCTCGACTCTACCTGCGCCGCCCCGCCCCGCCCCGCCCCGCCCCCGGCTCCCACAGCACTGCCTGATTGGTCTGTCTCGGGCTCCTGGAAGGGTCTTGTACAACTGTGCACATGTGGACTGACGGGCCCTCAGCCTGGATCGTGACAGCAGCGCACCAGAACGCCACAGCGATCACTTGGCAGGGTGAAGAAACTCACAGGGGGTGTCAGTGAGAAATATCAGTCCAGTTCAGCTCAATAAATAAGGAATGACCTTGTTTTAAATGCAGAGCTGCTGGTACTGTACTGTCGTCCTCAACTTCAAAATTCTTCATTCTGGCAACATTTATTCTTGCACAGCTTTATGACTTTCTACACCCATACTGGCCAAATGAGTGCAGGGGAAGCTCTTTGAAAGCTCTTTGAAAGTGTGTACACCCCAGAGGTTGTGAGATTCAGGCCTATTTGAATGCAGAAGGCAGTCGGGCTCAGGGCCTGACAGCAGAAATCTGACCCCAGGAAATAAAGCCCAAACCACACAAACCACAGCACAGCCTTGAAACCCATTTACTGCCCAGAGCGCTATCAGTAAGATATCAGCATGGCGACATCCATCAGCCCCAGCCTGGCACAGAGCAGCAGGATGGGACCAATAAAGCAATCCATATCAAACAACAGCACTGTTCCTGCTCCGGCCTTCACCTGCACAGCCTTCAGGATATCTGCACACCCCCTGCTGCTCATTGCTTTATGAGAAAGAGGTGCAAACAATATTGTTACTACTAATAACAGGAGGCACTCCAGTACACAAACGGGAGTGAGGGTCTGGAACAAGCTGCCCAGCCATGTGGCTGAAACCGATATCCTGGCTTCTTTCAGGAAATGACTGGATATAATCTGGGATCAATTAGTTACTAGCAAACAGGTTAGACGGGCAATTAGGGTCTAATTGCTTGAACAAACGTACTTTGATACTATGAGTAGTGTCAGAATTATACTGCTACACCACCTGATGCTACGACAGGTCTTGCCATTGCCAGTAATCCTGCTGGAAGGACGCTATCCCTGCTCCATCTGAACGTACTTCTGCTCCACTACACCTACCACTACTACTGCTGTTTGGTTTGCTAACCAAACCAATAACTAATTCTTGTTCATTAGAGTAATAATCATGCTAATATTGGCATGTTTCTGAATAACTGTGTTAACTATAAGCTGGGGTTGGCCTGGACAGGCTGGTCAGGCACTCAAGCTCTGGAGACACCGTCTGCGCTGTAACTTTAGAGCCTCCTGTAGACCCCCCTCTCCCCGGGAGAGGTGCGGGGGATTAAGGGCTCAGGAGTGCGCTTGCCGCTGTCTTTGCCTAGTAACCACGTGGCACCCCTCGCTGAAACCTGCGAGGCAGAGGAGGAGCAGGGCTGGCAGGAAGTCAGCCGCTGTCCCGCGGGGGCTGTCAAGACCAGCTGACTGCGCCGCAGTGGAGAGCGGCGAGCGGCTCTGATGTCCACCCCCAGGGCGAGCTCCAGAACCCTCCATGGTCTCCTAACTGCTGACATCCCATAAAACCCTGGGACAGGCTACTTTGGAAGCTGTGCATGCAAAACAAAGCAATAAACTTGCGCAAGTCTCTTATCTTCCCGTCCATAAGAGCAAGAGTCGCAGCCTGTTGACACATTAACAGACCTGGCAGGTCACAGCTCCCAGAAGGTGTTGACGAACATAAACAGATCAACTACTTTTTGTCTGAGCACATTTGGATATCACATTAGAAAACTGGAGAGCAGTACAAATTCTGTACGGTGAGTCCCAGATCTCGCTGTACACCTTCTTCGAGACCTGAGCCAGAGCGAGTTACTACCCATTCGCAGAGCCAGCCCTCCCACTTTCCTGCCTCTTTCACGTGAGCAGAGCGACTCTCATCAGCAAAACTGACTGGCGGAAACACTACTGCAATAAACACACAGCGGCAGGTAGGACAAGAGGACCTGGCCCTGACCCGGGCAGGACAGCACACCTTTCCACGACAGGAGAAGACGAAACTGACAAAAGGACGACAATATCTGAAACGCTAATAGCAACAGCAGGACCAGACAGAGCCAGTTAAACTCAATACCCTCACGATACACTGTGCTCCCACTGTACCCCGTCTCAAATGACCCAGCTCCACGTCCCAGTCTGGCGGTTCTCCTTCTGGGCCACTAGACCGACCCCAGCAAGGAGCACTGCCTGAGCCGAGCCCCGACCCAGACTGCAGAGCGCAGGGTCCAGCCCTGGCACAGACACTTTCTTACCTCACTGAGAGCAGCTCCTTCCTCCCCGGACTGTAGCCATGCTGTCAGTACTACTCCAGGCACGCTGGGCTCCCGCTAGAGGTGGCACAGGGTCCATTGTAGTCCCGAGCGCCTCCTCTCCCCCAGTCTGCCCTGTTCAGTATCCCAGCAGGGAAGCAGGCTGCCCCTGCACAAACTTCCCTCCTGCGCTCTCCTCCTTTATCTTTCCACTCCGCTGGCTCCTAAGAACAGCAGGCAAACAGTACAGTTCCTCCCTCTGTCCCTGCTTCTCGGTGTGCAGCGCCTCTCTCTCCCTCTCCCTTGAAGGGTCAGGTATTGTTTGATCCGTAGCACCTGCCAGGAGCAGAGCGCTGAGCACTGAGGCTGGAGAGCGTTCACAAGCACAGCGCCGTGCACTCGCTGAGCACTGAGGCTAGAGAGCGTTCACAAACAGAGCTCCCTGCAGTCGCTGAGCACTGAGGCTGGAGAGGGTTCACAAGTAGAGCCGTGCACTCACTGAGCACTGGGGCTCCTCAGTCTCACAAGCACGGCGCTGCAGCCAGACTGTGTGCAGGGAGAGAGAGAGGAGGAGAGAGAGCGCGTGTGTTTGGAGAAGGCACGGAGCTGCTAGGACATGCCCAGCGGTCTCTCTCTGGAGCCGCCTGCGTTGTGAGAGCAGTAAAAACAGGTTAGGCCAGACTGGCTGTCAGGGAGCTCCACTGCTCCTTCCTCTGGAGCAGCAGGGCTGGACACCAGCGCTCCGGACAGAAGGATTTAAAGCACCTGTGCTGATTTTTTCACTGGAGGGTTAATTGTTTTCTCCTACTGGGATTAACCAGAACACTGTGCTCCTCCTTCCCTGCTGGTCTGCCCTCTCGGAGCCACCATGCTGGGGAGCTATCTGTCCTCTGACCGCTGGACAATAACAGAGAGGTCAGGAGCAGCCACACAACCACCAAACCACCAGGGCACGCCTGCAAGACAGAATCACAATGTCCAGCTACCTCCAGAGCAGCTTCCTGGGCGAGTGGGGCCACGTGGAGCAGGAGCAGGAGCAGGAGCCCCTCTGGGTGCCATGCCCAACACTTCCTGGCCTCTGCCCTCCTCCCCCGGGCCCCGGGCCCCCAGCAGGCTGGGGCCAGCTCCTTCAGGCGAAAAGACATAACAAATGTAAAAATGGGGGGGAAGAGAGAGAAAGAAAGTGCAACACCTGCCCCATTTTTAGGGCCACAGTGTCTCCCCCAAGTGTGCAGAGAGCACAGAGAAAGAGGCCCCACAGCCAGGACAAGAGCAGCAGAAAGCGAGGGATTGGGCCAGAGTGCCCACTCACCAGTGGGCTCCCCCCGGCGCAGGGGCTTGTCGTGGGCAAGTGCCAACGCACCACCTGACCCATCCTCCCCTGCAGCTCCTGCAGTTCTCTCAGAGAGGCCATAGGGGGCAGCGCTGGGCTGGACGAGCTGGGAGCCCCTGCGATCTGCGTGTCCCTTCCCCCGGCCTTCAAGGCAGACGTGCCACAGTCCATCTCCTGGTGCCCCTGGATCCGACTGTGGCATCAGAGACCCTGACTGCTGGGACTCATGGGAGCAGTGGGCTGATGGGGAATCGTGGGGTGCAGTCGTGGGAGTGGGGCTCCACAGTAGCTGTGGGACCGTATTCTAGGCCCAGAAGGCTGAGGGAGCTCAGGAGCGCGCGGGGGCACTGTCGCTGATAAATGGGAAGCCGGCAGCAGCAGTGACACGCAGGGGGGCAGAGGACCAGCACAGCCGCTCCTAGCGCCCGGTCCTCGGCTCACTGCCCAGCCTCACTCCCCGGCTGCAGGCAGACAAGTCCTGACTCATAGGCTCCCTGCTCCTGGAGAGCAGCAGAAAGAGCCGTCTTCTCCAGAAGAACTCCGGTTTCACATTCCTCAGCTTCTGAAACGCACGCAGGTGGAATGCAGAGCCTGACAGCTCCAGAACTCGGGGAGTGCAGCGTATGTGGCTCCGGCACGACTGCTGCAGGTCACCGCAGGAGAACAGAGGTGTCTGGGCTCTGAGGAGCTTTCACACCATCATCATCATCGCGCTGGGCTGCTGTGTACACACACAGGCTCCGGTTCACTGTGCACGAATGCAGCAGGCACTTTCTGCTTTCGTACAGGCTACTGAAATAGTGTGTGGCTCACCAGTAATGAACTCAATCGGAACAGTACACTGGCACCCAGCATCCAGGTCAAGTCTCGTTTGCATTGGTACCCACGCTGCTGCCCTGCCTTCTGCAGAGGAAGAGTGAGGCCACTGGCAGTGCCCTCCTGCCCACACAGGGGTACAGGGGCAGGAGAGGTGGGAACAGACCGGCCCAACTGCGGTGAACAGCAGGAAGACATTCCAGAAACAATAAACTACCAGCAGCTGAACAAGCACGCCGGGTCCAGATGAGTGACTCGTGTGGGAAGGTCAGACACCGGCAGCTATCAGGTCTATCCAGGGACCGTGGTACACCAGGGTAAAGAAAGCAGTACCTAGACTGTGTGAACCTAAGTCACCTAAGCAGAGCCATGCTCAAGGATACATGAGCTGTGCCCCTCCTTGGTTGTGAACTGGCAAACCACTCAGCTCCAGGCTTGGGGCCCTGACCCACCCTCGCCTCTGCACACCGCTGCTCATTCACAGCACAAGAGTGGCCAATCCAGGCATAAATCTGGGATCACAGGGATCCTGAGGGAACGTGCTGCACGCTGCCTCCCAGCCTGCCCTCCGGGATGAGGAATGGGGGGTGTGTGGGAGAGCATTTTTATAATAAGCACCAACACTGCAAATGAGTGTTTTCTTTCCTTCAGCATGGAACTAAAACGCAGAGAGAAGAGCTGCAAAGCCTTTTATTTAGCTAAGTCTCCCATCAGGTTTAATTCATCCTAGATGCGTTTATAGGAGCTGGCAAATTACAGAGCAGCGCGCAGCTCCAATTACCAGGAAAAGGCGTTAACCTGGCTGCCCGTGCCGGCTGCCTGTCGGCTGCCATCTCCGAAACTCCCTGGAAGGGGAAGGAGAGAGCTGCATGTTTTTGTTTTCATACGTCCATGGGAGGATTTGGATTTTGGTAAGAATTTTAAAAAAACGGGACGATTTCCAGCACAGAGGAGCTCATTAGACTCGTCACTCTTGCTGGGTTGTCTGAAACGTGACGATCAGGGGGTCCGTCCAGCCCCTTCCTGGAAGATCCCAGAGTTCTGGACTCTGATTGTTACTGTAAAGAACCTTTTCTCCTATTTTCGAATTTAACACATTAAATCATGACATCATTTGTATCATGACGTAAGCATAATATACTGTATAATGCAGACACTATAATTTTAGCAGCCTCTCTCTTCTAGAGCTCCCTGACCAGTTACAGACAGCTCTGCTTTTACCCGAGAATCCACTGTGCTTCCAGGTGGGTCAAGCTGGCGGAGAGGAGCTGTTTGGAATCACGCCCTGCTGCCCACCACCGAGGAGTCAGGTCATCGGGTCATCCATCCTTCACAGAACCGCCCAGTGAACACTGGCTCCCAAGCTCTCACTTTATTATGTAGAACAGCCAGCCATCCGGTTTCTAATCAATACTGGCCAGCAACAGGCACAAGGCAGGGTACGCCGTGGACGGGACACCAGTCCATCGCAGGGAACATAAGACACACACACTCATACTACGGCAATTTTCCCAGAATCCAATCAACATAAGCAGCATGTCTCATGTGCGCCGAGATCTCACAGGCCACAGACAGCGCTCTGGTTCAGCACTGGGGCCTCAGGCCTGTGTTCTTGTGTGACACAGAAAGGCCCTTGAACCCACAGCCACACTAGCAGGTGAGGGTCCAAGCTGGCTGTAATAGCCCTTGGCGCAGAGCAACCACGCTGTCGGACTGCTCTGCAACTCGCACAAGAACCTGGCCTCTCCTCCTGGTGGGGGAGTTAGAGTAGGGAACTGGACGAGACCTGGAGTCGGGATTCAGCCAAAACTGCAGCTACTGCTTCTGAACCCAAAGTCCACAGTGAAAATACCTCAAAAGGTTGGTTCTCAAGCCAATGACATCCCAGTCCAGGGCAGTAGTCAGGTGTCCGGCCCAGATCCGCGTCCCCGCTGGGGTTCTGGTGACCCAGAGGAGCAGCCCTGCACCGGCCCGTCAGCGGGTCACGGCGCCAGCACCCTTCCCGAGAGAAAGCAAGAGGTCTGAGCACCCCGGGTAGTGCATCATCAGACAGGTTTATTTCAAACTAACCACAGCGTTTAAACAGCCCACGCCAGCCCGCATCTCAAACACAAACGCGTGTATTTTACAACGAAGATAACATCATGCAGCACTCGGACTGCTGTGCTCCGAACCGAATACGCTTTGCGGTTTCGAGTTTCATGAACAGAAAGAAAAAGCGACGATATGGAAACAGCTCTCTACAGATAAGACATTTCAAGAAAGTCTGTTCACTTGCACACGTGTAACCTCCAGAGCACTCAAGCATCTCCGAGTTTGCAGTCTGTCTAGAAGGGGACTGCCCCAGTGAAAAGACAAAGCAGGCCATAGGTAGACTCAGTCTGGCGCCCCCTATCTTCAACAAGACCAGTCACCAGTTTCTGCAGAGTTTGAATTGGACCCCAAGTATAATCATCAGTCATTCCTCTGGGTAAGTTGCAACTTAGACAATCTGGTAAATGAACTCAAAATAGCTCATTTAAGACACAGGGGGGAATTTGCACCAAGACCTAGACTCTGAAGGAGGTGGTAGAGAAAACGAAAACATTGATATTCTCTGAAGACAGAAGAAGAAACGTCTCGTTGGTTTCTGCTGGGGCTCCTGCCTGATATAACACTGCCTTTACAGACACCAGGAGCTCATGCTGATAAAAACAGCTCTCGCCATGCTCACAAGAGAGCCAGAAATTAACCAGAGAGCACAAGTGCCCTCCTCCCTCAGACAGACAGCGGGCGCCCCAGCACGCAGCGCGGCCGTCTTCCCTGGTCGGTTCGGGGCTCCGAGGCGATCCCCAGCCCTCCTCCTCAGCTCACGCTGCTTGGAGACGCGTCGCTAGCTTCAGGGCAGGGAGGGAGAAGAGAAGCAAACGAAAGCCATAAAAAAACACAGGAGGCAAATTAGAACAAGACACACTAACAGCCCAGGCAGGTACAGGGATCGAGCCCAAATGCCTTCTGCTGAAGCTGTCTCCTTGATGACACTTCCTATCTGAGCCAAACACCCAACACAGCTGTCTTTTAATTTTATAAGAATGAGCCTTCACAACATTCACAGACACACTGCACAGACACACAGTCACACTGACACACTGCACAGACACACAGTCACACTGACACACTGCACAGACACACAGTCACACTGACACACTGCACAGACACACAGTCACACTGACACACCACACGGACGCACAGACACATGGCACGGACACAGAACTGTCACAGCACGGACACACAGACACACGGCACAGACACACACCACAGACACAGAACTGTCACAGCACGGACACAGAACTGTCACACCACCGACACAGAACTGTCACACCACCGACACAGAACTGTCACACCACCGACACACAGCAC